TCATTTTCAATAGAAAGGAAACATAGCCTGCTTATTTCAGAGCACTGAACAAACCAACAGAAGTGGGAAAGGGAATTTACAAACAAGGTAAAGAATGCAATTTGTCTCTGAACTTTCTGGAAAACACAAGGGGCTAAAACCAGAGAGGTTAAGGATAGGAAAGTTTGCCAGTTTTAAAACTGAAAAAGAGGAAAGCAATTTAACCTTGACTTAAGTCAGTGTTTGTGAAATCCTAGCATCCATGCAGACCATTAAATGAAAAAATAACCTTGTTTCTCAATTACTCTGGGGTGATAGTGACTGCAGAAATTCTATGGTTCTGGTATAAAAGCATCCTGTTTTTATTTTCCATCAGAAAAGATAAATTGTTTCATTCTCGGGTTTTGAACTCATAATGGCTTAAGCACACAAGTAATCCTTCTGATTTCTGAAATACTGTATGTTTTTCAGGACTATGATTGTTTGTTTGTTTGTTATGTGTTGGTACTCACTTTTTCATAACAAATATAACAAGTAAAATTGCAAAAGCCTGCTTAGTTCAGCAAAAAACTACACAGTTTTCTGCTTACTTAACAAGCTGAATCCACTCATGAGTGGCTGAACAAGTAACAGTGGCTGTAAAAAAGAAGTTGGACCTTGGGGCAGAAGTAATGAAAAGTGGAGGAGGAAGCAGGGATAACAGACCCTGAAATCCTCCTTTCAGCAGTGTGAAACTATTGGATGTACTCAGAGATCTTGTCTCTTTGCTTATTTAAAGACCCAAGCATGACATACAAAAACAAGGAAGCCTCTGCCCTTTCCGCTTCTCTTGTTTCCCAGGGGAACAGTTCTGCTAAAAGGAGCTGCTTGCTCTTGTAAGATTTAAGAAACATTTCTTTTTAATTGATGTTCAAGCATTTCTAGTATCTTCACTGCATTGAGCACAATCTAATAAGGAAAGACCTGCCTACTTAATAATAACTGCAATGCTTTCTCATGCTAGACCAGAGCATTGAGTCTCTTGACAAGACATTTCTCTATGGCTTAACAAAAGCAAAGGTTTTCTTGCTGTAAAAATTAAAACAATTTCTTTACAGTTTCAAACCTCTCAAAAAAAACCACTTGTGCTGTTAAACTTGAGTCCTTTTCAAGTATCTTTTTTTACTACACATCACACTTCAAAATTTAAAAGAGAAAAGTTTTCCTTTATGGAAGTCAGCATTAAAAGCTTTTAATAAAAAATTGGTTTATAACTTTAACCATAAAATGGTTATTGGAAGACTATATTCTCAAGATGGAAAATATTTTGGGGGAGAGAAACAGAAACTTATTTGTAAATAATCATCAGCATGTACAGGCAGACTTTGCTGGAATGCACAAAATGCAGTAAAGGAAAAAATGTTGCCCTTTTCTATCTATATTTAAATTAGATCTTTGTTCAAGAGCCCATTTCAGATCAGATTTTTTTTGGTTAAACCAACACTGGAAGAGGTGAACTATTTAAAAAAAGAAAGCCCCCCAAAGGAAAAAAGAGGATTATCCAATTTTATTTTCTGTCCAGTTTTGATAAAACCTCAGCGATAAAAACCCTCATATGCTATCCTACATATTACATTGATATATAAGCAGCATGTGCAAAAATCCTAAAAATACAATAAACTTTCAATGCATATTAAATATATCAAAGTCATCAGCCCTACACTGTAAAATAATACAAGTAGAGAGACCAAAAAGCTGTCCCACAGGACAGCTTTTCATGCTGTCTTCTGGTCTTTTCCTGGACTAGAAATACTCTCATGGCAGGTTCTTTTAAAAAAGTTAGTGTAGACAGATAAAATACATGATATTTTCATTCTGAATGGTATAGCTACAGATGCCCAAATATACTAATAGTTCTATTTAAGCAGCCAAATTTTACTATTGATTGGAGAAAGGAAAACAGATGTGTGTGTGTGTGTGTGTGTGTGTGTGTAGGAAATGTACGTGTGGGAGGGAAGGAAAGCAAAAGCAAATGTGAACTCCTGCACACAAAAGATGGTCGTAGTGAGTGTGGGGCGTAACATATGTTGGAACACTGCTCTTAATTTTAACATTCTTTTGGATGGGTAGATCCATGACAATTATACCACTAAGATTCTTCAACCACTTGCAAGCAAGCATAGGAAGGTAACAACAGAAGAATGGTAGGAAGGCACTACAATTAGAGGGAATGCATGGATAACTCAGCAGATAATATGCAGGAATACTGAGATGATTGATGGACAGAAAGTGAGAAGGAAAAGCAGTGTAACTAAAGACTCTCTAGAGTCTCCAGGGGCTGAGGTTTGTCTGCTGAGCCCTGCAGCAGTGGATCTGTGGCTTCAAGAGGGGTGGAGCACACACTGGGTATAGTACGGAACTGAAGGAAAGAATGCATATAATAGGAAACAGCATCTTACTTAATTGGAGACACACTGCCAGTTATCCTACTTGGTTACTCTTTTTAGAGTAATAGTTTATTCCCCTGTTGAAGGTAAAAGAAGAGGCCAGGAACCCTCAGAAACTGGAGTTATACGTAAAAGAATTCAGTGAGAGACAATTAGGAATACTTTTCAAAGGTTAGTTGTTAAAGATCTTCTGTCTCAGATTATTTCTACAACGGAGATACAATATCTAACTAGTCTACACAAGATACCAAGTTGTTGGCAGCAAAGGTCTTTTCAATACATGGGGTACTATGAGTGTTAAGTATTATTATCATTACTACTACCAAGAAGAAAAAGTAAAATATGGCATTGAACAAAGGGCAACACACTGCTATATTATTACATCCTGTTTTAAAATAAATATATTTCTATCACTGGTAATAAAAAGATACTATAAAATGGAAACTTGTAAAAATAAATCTCAGACAAGTAATCTAAGGAGGGTGGGAATGACACAAGAAATTGGTACTGGTTTTCTTGACTGCTTTTATGCTAAATGACATAGGGATTGGGCTGAATACTCTAGACTGCAATATTCTTTGTTAAGGTTGATTTGTTCAAATCCATTACTCTTGTCAGAGTTTGGTCATTTATACACCTACTGGGGAGAGAAATCAAATATTATAAACACTCAAGGCAATGATGTAACTCCTGCATTGTATTTTTTTCAGTTTGAAGCTACTGCAGGCCACTTAGATGTTACAAATCCCTTTATTCCCTCCACAGGAGTCTGAACACACTGACCTTTCTTTACCCTATGCAACTTCCAGTGGAATAAAGAATATGCTGGTTTGACACTAGACAGGGTAGCTTGGATGTACATATTCAATATGACTTAACTAACCTATTTAGTGACAGACAAAAGTCCATCCTGAGGCAGGATGAGTCTCAGTACAGACTGTTAAAGCCTAAATACATCAAACAGCCTAAATGAAACTCCAGGCCCCTGTCTGGCTACACTGTGCTGGGTACCCATAGGAGCAGTTTTAAAGCCAGCTCAGGCATATCCTGAGGAGCTATAGCAACACTGCTAGACTGGAGTGTAGATGTATGATATGACAGATAACTGCAGATATTCATCAGGTTTGAAAATTAAAAATTGCTCAGGATAACAGCAGTAAAGAGACAAAGACAAATTTGTAAAGGAAATAAGATTTTACTTTCTGGAAATTGCATTTGGCCATAAAGTCTGATTAATGAAATTTTAGTAATTTTTTTAGCATCTAATCACATTTACTCATGGTGGTTAGAGGTCTCACCACTGCTGGTTATCCAGTAAACTCCTAATCAATTAAATACAATATGTTTCCTCAGTTCCATCAGAAGCTTTGGTGGGAAGATTTCTCACAAGAAACTGATCCAAATCCAAAAGGTTCCTCACAGGAATGCATAAATTTTGAAGATTTCTATCTTTAACTTCCTGGACAACAAACTTGCTCATTTGCTTACTTTGCTCAGCAATTTTGACAACCAAAGGTAGCAAATGACTCCTCAGATGGGAGCACTACTTCCTAATGGATTCATTTCTACCTAATTTTTTGTTTTATTTTGAGCAAAATATCTCTATAGGTATCCTATGGATAAAGCTAAAATCCTTGGAAAAAAAAAAAATACACAAAAGTCAAACACAACATATCAAAAATTCATTAAGTACTTCAAAAAATTTAGCATGCACATAAGTCTCAACAGTATTTTTGGGAAGGGAGGGCAGCAGATCCACTTCTTAAGAACTTTATCATTTTTGAGGGAAAACACCAGAAGTTTATGGTATGAAATTAAGACAATAGGAGTAAAATGAAGGCAATTGGAGTTTCAAATCCCTTTTTTTTGGTCATGAACTGATCTACAGCTATGTAGTCAATCATGTGATGTCATTAAGATACCATTTATTAAGGAACTTAAGCCTTCCAAATTTTAACCATGAATGATTCTATTACCAAGAATAAAAATACTAGAAGACCTTTATCTATTTGGACTCCAACTATACAGAAAATGAATAAAAATATTATTTAAAAACTTTAAATATTAAAGATATATATAAATTTTAAATTAGAGGATGCTATCTTTATTTTTATATGAACTGTTTTAACAAGCTATATTTTTAGGCTTATTTTCTTAAACTGACCTGTTTTGTGTTCTGAAATTCCTTTTAATCATCCCTTTGTTGTACAGTCTTACACACTAAGTCATTGTTATCACATAAGTTGTCCCAAAGAGGTGACAAATCATCACTTTTCTGGACAAATAGATGTGCTACAAAAACACTTCTAGCAGGAGCAGTTACAGTTTGATTAAAGGTGAAACAAAATGAAAGCGAATGCTAGCTTTTTGTGCCTCTAAAATGTTTTTCTTTACTTGATCTTTAATCTTTTAGAGAGATTAAAAGAAGAAGACCAGTGCAATTTGTTTCAACAATAACAGTGTTAGTTCAGAAGGAATGCCTACAAAGATCTGCAGTGCCTGACAGCAAGAATTATTAAGGACAGGAGCAAAGATGTAGTCATGAATTTAAAATACAGAGATATAATTTACAAATCTCATTTTGCTTACCTGTCATTGCAATTAGCACTATGCAAAATGGCTGTGATAAATAATCATAGTAATGGGAGACCCTTTTTTAAATCAGGATGTATTTGAAAGAATTCTTTTCAATAGTATATCCTCTCTCACTCTTCAGGGGATCCTTACTGCAACAAAATAGATATGAAAACATAATTGTAAAACCTCAACATTTGCTGAGGCATTTGGTATCTACAGCATTGGACTGGAAATAACTTTTTTTTTTTTCCTCTATCTAACCCAGAAAATCTTAGATAACAAATTTCTGTCTTTTAAAAGATATCTATATCCATCTAGCTATCTATATATTTATGCTAAATATAAAGTAAAATATAATGAAATCGCTTGGGGAAAAAAAAATAAAAAGGTGTTCAAAAACTTACCTAGAGAAGCAGTGAAAATGCTGTTTATTTGCTGAGATATTTAAAATTAAATTGCCAAAAGCACTGGAAAATCTGTGGTAGAAAACCATTTTGCTGGGGAAGGCAATGGACTACATAAAGTAATAAGCCTTCCCCATCTCTAAATTCTACGATTCTCATAGTAAATGAAGACAAACAGTATTTTTTTTTTTAACCAATTATAAGAAAAACATCATCTTTTGAAAACCCTGTCCTTCTTTATTCCAGGAGATACTGAGGTTGAAAAGTCTAACAAGTCCACCAATTATTCTAAAACTGCAACAAAATAAAATTAATTATTTATATTTAAACACCATTTCACAAGTATTGTATCATAATTATGCTTCTAAAACATGATTGTGACACACTTACATTTGGTTGTGGTCCAACACAATTTGCTGTGTATGCCCAGAGCACGGCAAAGACACACAGGTAAACAAAGGGTATACAACAGGTATTTAAGCCAAATTTGAGCTGTAAATCTACTGGTCAAGTTAAAGCAATCACATCAGTAACTGATCACATCAGTGACAATTCCTGAAATGACACAGTGGCTTGGAGTCTGTCCAGCCTCACTTTTGATATTTACCAAAATACCTGAATTTAACCCTGTCACCTGGAGCTCTGCCTACAGCCATTTATGAAAGAGCTGCTCTGCCATGCAATTCTGGCTACCCACAACTCCAAGGAAAACAGACTGAACAGGAAGTCCCAGTTGTTGATCCCTGTCCCAAAAGGACTCCTGGGAGCCCAGTTTTAAATCCTCCCATGGAAATGTTAGGAGGCACTTCTCTGCATGGCCCCAGTCACCCAACTGCTACAGCAGAGGGCTGTGATATGCAGAGCCAGCTACGGCTTCCTCCTCTCCACAGGGAATAGAAAGGTCATATCCCGGAACCATGCAGAGTTTCCTACTGGACAGAAAGAGGAAAAACTGGGCTGCCCACTGCCTATGTCTATCACCTACTCTTTATTACAGTTTGGTGAGCCTTGAGTAAGTAACCTTGGGTTCCTCACAAACTCGCCTCCCTCAGGATATATCCTGTGCACCTTTTTGAGAGTTTATACACCCCAGCCACCAAAACTAATAATTTTAGATCTACTCCTGTGGCCTGATTCTTCCTAAACAAATTATGAATAACTCTTATGGACAAGGGTGGTTTAATCCTGTTTCCAGAGTGATAATAGAGTTTCTCCAGCTTAATGATCAATATTATATTGGATTGGAGTAGGAGAGTAAGCGGTCTTGCACTTTCTCTGTGCTTATGGAACAGTGCACAAAAGTATGTTATTACTGTCCAAAATTTTATAAATTCTTTATAAAATAGTAACATCAATACACTTGCCAAATGCAATGTTGGGGAGCGAGGGAAGGAGGGAGAGAGGGCAAGATATTTATGTCATGTTTCTCGCATCTGGATTGCTAAACAGCAAAATTATATTCAAGCTGCATTCAAGGGAAACGTCTTACAATAAGTACATACAGAAAGCAGAAATATTTCTACCAAACCTGGGAACAATACTCATATATTTAGATATGTTTTTCTTTGCGTGTATCAAATTCTCTAGGGACATGAATCAACAAAAATACTTCAGCATAAGATTAGCTCTGTGCATTTTATTGGGGTTATTCACATGCTTGAAGAGAAATGCAAGCTTAAGCGCTGAAATTAAGAATAACACATTTTAACAACTTTAAGATAAAACATGCAAAAAAAGATTTTATAAAAATAGATCTTATAGACATATTCCAAACTCACCAGCAGCTTTTCCCCATTACCCAAAATCTGCAGGTATCTTCACCTCATGCATTTCTAGAGAGAATCCTTATATCTGTCTCTTTATTATACCCTGATAAATAACCAAAACACAAATGTCCAAAACATCCTGATCTCCAGAGGAAGCACAGCAATTTTTTTACAGAGCTCACCCATTAACTATCCTAGAGGGGAAAAAAGAGATTTGAAAAATATACCTAGAAAACTGCCAAGAAAACTGCTAAGAAAGATGGTTTCTTGATCCAATAACTAAGCCAAAGTGCTTCTGCAAGAGGCTATCACTCTGATCCTGACAAACAGTCAGTAGCAGCAGCATCTTCCTGGCTTCTAGGAAGGACATGACATAAAAGACACAAGTCCAACAGATCCATCACCGTAAGTGTGCTCTGGCAAAAATTCACCCCACCTAGATAGAAATCCTTGTAAGAAAATCTAACATTTTTTCTCATTTCATAGTCCCAGTTCTTTTGTCATGGATTCAGTACGACCAGAATCCAAGTAACGTTATCTTCAAAAGAAGTTGAAAACTCACAGCAAGAAATGCTCAACTCTTTTACTGTAGACAAGTTCTTAGATTAACTGAGTATCTAAGCACCAAGAATGCTCCTGCTGATTATGATTTAATATGTGCTTCTTAAGGCACAGGCATTTTTCTTTCCCTCCACCACAAGCATAGGATAAAATTTTGGTTTAAAAATATTTCTTGTATTTCTCTAAAACTGAAGTAAAATCTTCCACAACTACTATAATTCTTTTTTTTTATTATTTTTTTTTCTGTCTCAAGGTAACACAATCAATTCTCTTGCAACACAGCTGAAGTGCAGGAAATTTTGTATTTAGTAATTAATGGTTTAAGAATAGAATTTCATCTCTCATCAGGTCGAAACATCTGCCAATCTGCACTACTGTTCTTCAGAGCCCTACAAAACATAGATTTTATTAGGTTTCGGGACAGACATTTAAAACAGAGCCTAAAAGGCAAAATACACTATCACATCTTTACAGCTCTTTTACTGTATGTGTAAATTCTGTTCATCAGCAGACATGACTTGGGTAGCCTGCACTAGACTAATAGCATAAACATTCCAACAGAATAACTGTCTTCATTTCTTTTCAATTTGCATTTTCCAATGAAGAACAGTTTCTGCAGTCAAAGGTCCTTGGGAGTGGGTGCTTGGCAAACTCCTTGTAGCCAGCCATTACAAGAGTCTGCTGAGCACACTGAAAACTGTAAACAGTTTTCACCAAAAGAGCTGGTCTCTGTTCCTCCAGTGGGAAAAGGTTCTGCCACAGGTAAGTTATGCCCCAGAAACTGTATTTTTCCAAAAATTCAGAGTTGACTAGAAACATGGGAAGAAATGCAGCATTTGTTTGCTCATGACATACGTACACTGTTGAGCTTGTTTTGAACACTTACCATCCTAACTCTGCTACAAGTGTATTATTCATAACTCCAGAGCATTTCCCAATCCTTGCAGATGCCTGAAAATAAGGATGACATAAGGATAGACAAAGAGGCAATGCCAGTAACTATGTACTAAGAGGCTCAGAAGAGCAATAATACCATTCTAGCCAATTTAAATATTCATCCTTTCCTTGTTAACATAAAGTCTCTCCGTGTTCAGTTTCTCAGTTAAACAGGAGGTGAAGGGGTTTACACAGCAGTGCTTTAGTGAAATGGAATCTGATTACACTTAATCTCCCAATACACAAAAGTGTGGCTTCCCAAGAGTTAATAAAAAGTGATGGTTACAAATTACAGAAGTACTACTTCCGAAATGAACTTAAGATCAAACACAAGACTGTCTAATTACCAAATTAAAAACTTGCATTGAGAAGTATTCATTTCTCAAGCTATGGATGGGTGGAACAAGCCATGATTATATCTCTCATCCTTCAGCATATGCATTTCTCACAGACTTACCTTGCACTAGTGCTTAGGAAGGTGATTGCTTCCGCTTCCTGTTCAAAAAACTAGATGCCATAATATTGGGTGTATGAGTAAAAGAATAATAATACCATATGGAGGCAGAGGAACTAAAATATTGATATTTCATTTTTTCATCCTACTGGGGATCTGTCATTCTTCAGATTGTTCTAATATGTAACAGAGAGAGAAAACTTTTTATGATCACAAATTTATATGAATCAGGTTTGTACGCCTAAAAGCACTCAGGGTTTGACCTTGCATTTCTGAATTTTTAGGAGTCTCTGTAGGACTCCAAAACAAAATTGTATTGTATAAGTATATTGTATTATAATTGTATTATATATATGCTGACAGACAAGGCTTATAATACTCTGGAGGACCTGGCTAATCTTCAGAGGCATATCTCATTTTCAACTAAAATAGAAAATTAAGTAAAAGATGGTCAGTCTTTGTACTTAATATTCACAGCTTTTCCAGTCTCTAGCTGAGAACCAGTGCTGACTGTATTCATAAAAATTTTCTCCTATCACATTAGAAGAGACCACATACAACTTGTACTTGACAGTCCAGGTTAGGGCAGTGCACATTAAGCTACAGGTCACAGTAGGGTGGTGGGACTGCAGTGAAATGACACTGCATTTTTTCCTAAGCCTGGCAGAATTACTCACTGCTTTTGAAAGAGCATTTGAACACTGTCTTATCCTTGTTGTTACCTACCACAATGAGTAAATGAAGAAAACAAGAAAGTCACAAAAACAATACCAGTCACGTTTCTCTCCAGAAGACGGGTAACTGTTGCAGAAATAACAAAATATTAGCATAATTCTATATCAGTAATTCAAATGCTAGTAATTAACAGTCCAATAAAAATTGTCTAGGATCTCCACACAAATCTTACCATCTGCCTGCAATAAAAATCATGAAGTGTATCTCTGCTTCAAGTGGAAGTCACATGAAGGAGATGTAAGTAGAACCAATTCAGCAATTTAAAGAACCTTGTAAGATAATGGGGATATCTTCTCTAAAAAAGAGGCTCATTATTTTAGAAATTCCTGAATTTATTCTCAATATTAAGAAATAGGATCTTCTCAAAAGTTGTATGACTCTATAAATATATATAGTCTTCAAACATAATATTCAATACATGGCATTGTATAAACAGAACACTATGTAACAAAAAGACATTTTAGTAAAGAAAAAAAAATCCTGATAACCAGCAAAAAGATATCTTGATGCAGATAGCTTGGTCACGTACCCTACTCAGCTTGCCTACGTGGACCTTGAAACCTGTGGGAAGAGGTCAGGGACTGCCCTGTGCCAGACACTTATGGTTCCAGGAAGCCTTACAGTGGATCTACTGCAGGTCAAGGCTGAGCTCAACAGCCAAACTGAAACATATCCACAAAATACAAGACATCAGCTAGAGAGAGGAGGAGGAAGAGTTAGAAAAGAGTTAGAAACAACAGAGGGAACACCAAGTTCCAAGGAAAAGGAGGAAAGGGAAGAAATGCTCCATGACAGATATCCCTGCAGCCCACGAGACACTAACTTTATACCATACACTTGAAAGACTGAAACTACACTCACAAAATACATCTCTCTCAAATTAAAGTTGATAAACTTTTTATGCCATTGCATCAGATATGTTTGTTAGATGACATATATGTGATACTGTGATAGATATGTTTATTAGAGGATGAGTGCAAGCACAGAAACTGCCAGAGTTTGGATGCTGGTAGTTTGGATGTCCTGGTGTGTCCACCCTTCCACCTCTACTGTCCCTTAACAGTGCCGGTGTGACACAGTAGGTTATGGAACTGGAAAGGATCTCAGGTTGAATCTTGAATACTGTATATAAAGATCCACAGTTCAGGCATCTGTATAGGGAACAGTTGGAAGATTTGTCCATTCTTTCACTCTTATAATTTTGAATGTCAATCATTTGGCACAAAATCCAAGGCCAAAGAAGCCAAAGCAATACTGAGTATAGTCCTTCATGCAAAACCAAAGTGCATCTGTTCTAGCTCAGAAAGGAGAAATATTAAGATTAGGGTTATTATATCTGTCATGGCAATTTTGGATGATCTCAAGCAACACTGGTTCCATGCAAAAATAAAGCACAATATCAGGCAAGGTGGGAGAAGAAGAGGCCAAGGAGACTTTAGCATCTGTCAGGGAAGAGGAGTTATTAAATTAGCATTTGTAAGGCAATTTTGTATTTTTTTGTTTAAGATAACTTCATGCAACCCCTCCTCCCTCCCAAGAGTCTCTAATGCAGAAGTACAGAGAGCACAATATCAAAAATTATGAAAAGATTTTAGAGGACAGAATTCACACCAGCAGACAACAAAGAGGCTTTTAAAAGTTATGACATGGCTTGTTACGTTAAGATTGTATTATTTGCTGATTGCCACGTCAAAGAAGCAGAATGAAATGGTTGAATAACCTTCCCAATGTGCCCTGCCTTGAACAGTGGCTAGGCTGCTTTGGCAGAAAAGTCTGTCCTCTGGTCCTGTTTTTGCCTCTGCACTTGTGTGATAGTCAAATAAGAAAAGGATCTTTATTTTTGCATCAAATTTTTGCGGCTGCTTCCCTTTTCTAAAGAAATTAATTTGAAATACTATGAATTTTATGTCTGGGAGCATGTATCAGTAATAAACTGGGAGGCTGTATCAGGAAATGGCATAGAGTACCAATAGGGATTACAATGGTTTAAGATGTATAAAGTGGAACAAATATTTAAGAGAGGAAGGCATAACAAGAGAGTTTAGCAGTAAGAATTAGATTAATTACTGTAGGGTCAGTTTCCCCAGGGTAGGATTTTAAACAATAGCATTCATTGTTTCAGAACACATATGATTAAAAAAATGGAAAAAACCCAACCAAACCAAAATAAAACAAAACCAAAAAAAACAACCAACAGAAATTCAACTGGATAACAATCAATCTGGGATTCAGGCACTAGAGTCATTTGCAAATAGAGATTGCTTGGGACCTGAAGACCTGCACTGAAGACTGCAGATTATATATATCACAGAACATGGTGTTCTGTGTTCTCGGGTCATATATGGATAGAAGGCAGTAAAAACCTCACAGCAACTTCACCTCAATACATCAGTTTTCTACTTCTGAAGCCTATAATCATTTGAGGCCACTGCAGAATCCAAAGAAATTCAAGTCATATAAAGTCAAAGTAGTCATTGCTGAGTTCTCTTCTTGACAATGACAGAGTCCTCACTTCAGATCTACATGCAAGGATGGTTTGAAATTACACTATCCCAAAGCACCCATAAGCTCCTGTTTTGTATTGCATAGTGCATTTTAACAGTTTATTCCACAACAAGGTGACTCTTCTGCAACTCTAATGCAGTTATTAATGCAGCAGTTGTCCAGAAAAATACCTACAAGTACTCTAGAAAACAGAAAGGAGACAATTAGTCTGAATTGCTACCAAGAGAAAAGCACTAGAAACAATCTTCTGTAAAATTCTCTTTCCTCAAGGCTCTGCACATTTAGACTACAAACCAAATCATGGAAAAATTCTGCACAATACTTAATACAAAACTTCCAGGAATGAGGAATTCGTTGTTGATATTTATTGCACAATTTTCTTTTTTTTTTTTACTGAGTTAGTTAATGCACTGAAGTATTCTTTGATACTGCAGAAGAATTTTCCAACTTAAACAACTTGCTCAAATTTATCAGCCAAACTAAAATCAGAAGAGCTAAGCTTTAACAAATTCTGGCAAGTTTACAGGCAATGTGCAAATAAAATATTTTTCCCTGTGCCCTAAATTCAATTGCTACCAGACACTATATGGAATGTTCTGGTGAGGGAGGCAATGAAGAAAAATTCAACTAAAGGATGATCAACATGCTATCATGAAAAACCTCCCACTGATTTCAACAGCCTTTAAACAACTTTAAATATTTTTTTTCCCTCTCTTTCCCTCTGTTCTTTACTGTTTCCACACATCTTACCCTGATGCTGTAACAGCAGCTGATGTTACAGCAAAGAGGAGAATGCCTCTTTCCTGTACTCTGCTCTCCCCTCTCACTTCAACAAAATTCACCTCAATTGAGACTAAGCAATGAGAGATCTCAAATACTTAAACTGAATATATCTTTCACTCCACTCCCCAGAGGTTGGCTTTACCCTCCAGCTGGTTCCCTGAGTAACTTTGCTGTTCCAAAAAAACATTATAATAAGACCCACTATCTACAGCATCGAGGTACCTAGCATTTACATGTTAAGCATCACTCTTCAGATGGGCCATTTAGTGATGTTCCTGAAGAAAATGGCCTTTTTAAGAATTTTTTGTTGATCATCCCCAAGGCTATACTTTCCTTCTTACCAGAAGGAATAAAATGGAAGTTTTGCAAAACCACTTGAGCGCAACATTTGCCAAGAACAGCCAAAGTCTGGTTAAGGTGCTTGCAAACACTACAGATGAAAAAACATCTTTCAAGATAGGTACTTCAGAGGTCCACAGATTTTAAATGTTGCACAGTACTTATTTATTTGGGTTAGAAAACACACAATGTAGAACGTTGAGTATGGCATTTTTTTAATTTATTTAAAGAAAGGCCCAGTGTGTAATTTTTAACACTGTACAGGTCATAGGAAAGGTAAATTAAGCAGGATAATTAAGACAGAAGAAGCAGAGGAGCAACATCAACACATTTAAACTATTGGAAAGAAAGAGGAGGAATCAACAATAAAATGCTGTAAGGTTTGAGTTTCTCCTGTTATTGAATTAAATGCCAGATGAAAGCTTCGTCTAAACATACCAGTTATGCCTTTTTACTCCAATCAATTATAAACCTCATTATAGTTACACAGGTGTAAAACTCTTTACAGACCATCTTGTATCACTGCTTAAGTGATTTACACATATCGACAAAGGGTAGCAGCTGCTGAATTAAACCCATTTTACAATTAGAGTAAACTCATGTAATTTTTGTCTATATGGAGACTAATAGATGGTGATTTTTTAAGTGTATTAAACTTCAGATTCCCAAAGATAATTTCAGGCAATAGGGTTATGTTTTTTCTCGTTTGAACATTTTTAAACAATGACCATCTGAACACATAACTGAATCTAGTATCCTCCACCACATCAAATTATGCCTAACTGTGCTATTTAAATATTCTTCATTTTAGGAGGTATTATGTCATTAATTTCTAAAGCTATTCTCAAAATATCTTAATACCAAGCTTAACAACTTGTTCAGCTGCAGGAGCACAAAGTTGGAAGGACTGTTTAAGAGACTTGTTTATTCACTTCAAACCTGAACAGCTCTTCAAATGGCTTTCTAAACTAAGGTGCGTATTCCTGTTACTAAACACTGCTGAATTGTTGCTAATGAAGTTTGGTGAGAAATATGAACCATGAGACTGTACTTCTGATGAATAACTGATTTCCTGGATGTGTCCATGTGCGTTTTTTTCTGCAGGAATTTTGTTGCCATTCTTTCAGCAGTACTGACACATGGTAGCTCTGTTGAGGAATGAAAAGCTCTCATTTGACATTTTCCTATATGCAGCTCCACAGCTTTCAAGATTTTCTTGTCTCTACAACCATAATAGGAATTCTGCGTTTGGCATTATCCCCTGAATAATTCCATTATTAAGGAAGCTTGGAAATGAAAGACTTTTTTCTTTCCTTAAGGCATTTGGCCATTACTTTACACACTCAAAGTAGGAAACTGATTTTCTATACACGAAATGGCTCATCATCACTATGCAGTCAACTCCTCAGCCACTAATGTGAACATTTTTGCAAGGTTTTGTGTTCAAAGAATGCACCACCACACACAGTGGAACAAATAAAACCAAATTACCTTGAGACAAATCAAAGAACACAAGAGGATGGAGGGGGCGG